GAGCTACAGTGAATAGAGAGAAACACTGTTAACTGATGGTACATGGAGGGGATTATAATCATTGTAATGAAACAAGGTGTATGATTTGCTGAATGTAAAACTGATGGTCTGCCCTGTAAACTTTCACTCAACTCACAATAAAACCTTAAAAAAAAAAAAATCCAAATGGTCCCCCCAAAAAAGTAGGATGTAGAACATTATCTTTGAGGACTATGTTATGCCAGTTTGACCTTGTTGTCCCCCAAGACTATGGTCCTGAGCTCCCAGGCCCAGTCACTCATTCCATAAGGGTGGATCTTAGACTATGTTAAAGTAAAGATGAGTTTCGTGTCCTTTAGGTAATCTCCATAAAATATTGTTCTTGTCAAGTGAATTTTTATAAATATTGCGCATTGTTGAACTCAAGATCATATTCTCAAGTATATGGCTAGAGAAGGAATGAAGACACATGGTATTAATCCCACCTAAAAGAAGAATTTATTTTCATAAGTATCATGTGTCACGTGCTCTGCTAGTTACTGACAAAACAGAAATAAAAAGACTCAGTCCCTGCCCATAAAATACTACAGAGTAAAGGACAGCAACTGGCACATGGTAATTAATATGGTAAATCATATTCACCAAGTCCACTTAACGTTAGGAAGTAAGGCAGTCTTGAGGAAGTACATTTTTGTTATTTGTTTTTAAGTAGGCAAGAAATACTAGTCTTTTTTTTTCACATATTTGATTTCTCTTAATGAATTACAGCAAAATGCAGATTATGTCAATTTGGGATTAACAAAATACACATCCATTTGAAATGTGCGGGATTACAGATAGGTGGCCAGAGTAAAACAGCTATAGCCTATTCTCCAGTATGTTCCTTTTACCAAGATACTGAAACATCCTACCTCTAGAAACCCCTTCTGGTTAGGATCCATATGGTTCAGAGGGATGTAAGTGTCATCGGTCTTCTGGCAAACCACCATTGCATGCCTTTGACTAAAAGTTCCACGGCCAACATCTTGACCACTCAGACGGACATTAAAACCTTGAAGAAGAAAGAGGGTGGAAAGATCCGGGTTGCCATGAATAACCTATGTTCTTTCCTTAGGCTAATCAATTATCCTTATTAAACTATGTTGTTGTTATCAAGTTCTGTTGAGTCAGTTCCAACTCACAGTGGCCCTGTAAAGGGTTTCTAAGGAGTTGCTGGTGCGTTTGAACTGCTGACCTTTGCAGAACAAACTGCTTTGCAGACAGACACATTAAACAACAGCACCACACCAGTTCTCCTTGTTAAACTATGTTGTTGTTATCAAGTTCTGTTGAGTCAGTTCCAACTCACAGTGGCCCTGTAAAGGGTTTCTAAGGAGTTGCTGGTGCGTTTGAACTGCTGACCCTGTGGTTAGCAGTCCAGAGCTTATCCTACAGCAGGAGTCCTATTAAACTATGGTGGTGGTGGTGTGACACCAAATTGGTTCCAACTCATAACGACCCTGTCTAGGGTTTCCAAGGCTGTAAAATCTTTACAAGAGCAGAAAGCCTCATCTTTCTCCCAGTGGAGCAACTGGGAGTTTCAAACTACTGACCTTGCAGTTAGCAGCCCACCTCGTAATCCACTAGGCTACCAGGGCTATTAAACTATACCTGTTCTACATTCAGTAGCTGTATTCAAGGTAAGATTATATAAGGATGGAACATTATCAATTGCCCTACAAGTATGAGAGCAAATTATCTTTCCAATATGTCTAATGCTGAGTCCTTTTTTTCCCAAGCATAACTGATTCTAGTGTATTCTCTAATGAAGTTTATCAATGTGATTAAGTAAAATCACTAGGAAATAAAAGTTAACACATTTTAGAACCTCTCTAATCAATTAACTCCTGGTGTGGTGCTATAGGATAAGCACTGGACTGAAAATCACACGGTCGATGGCTGAGAGCCATCAGCTGCTCCTCTGAAATCCTACTATACTGGGTCACTTCAAGTTGGAGCCAACTCAATGGCACTTAACAACAATCAATTAAAACAACAGAAGGTCGTTACAACTCAAAAAACCACCAAAACCCACTGTCATTGAGTCGATGCTAACTCATAGCAACCCTCTATTGGTTTCTGAGACTCTAAATCTTTATAAGAGAAGACAGCCTCATCTTTCTCTCTCAGAGAAGCCGATAGGTTTGGACTGATTTTGTGGTTAGCAGCCCAACACCTAACCCATAGCAGTAGTACCAAGGTTCTCTCTAAAAAACCACAGAGGTCACACATAACAAATGTTATATGAAACATTCCCTGCCAGCTCTGCAGCTACACAGAAACTTCTTACCTTGTGCAAGTAATGAGCCCAAGGCAAGCGCTTCTGCTGTGGCCCAGTCTAACTTCGTTCCATCCATCACTTTCTCCACTCTAGACTACAAAATTGACAACAAAACAAAAAGAAACGTGTAAGAGTCCACATAATTTTTCACATTGAGTTCATAAAATGTAATGTGACAAAGCTAAGTATCAAAACCATAATGCTGAATAACAAAAGCAAGCACAGAAAAGTAATTATTAGAGTATGATAGCAGTTATATTAACTTTGAAAGCAAGCAAAACAAACATGAACTTCAGGTTATTGGTTACCTCTGCAGATGTATGAGAGGAGATGTCATCGGAGAAAGAAACATGCATTTGTAACACTGTGGCACTATAGGATAAGCACTTGACTGATAACCACAAGGTCGGTGGTTAAAACCTACCAGCCGCTCCTTGGAAACCAACGCAGGGTCGCTATGAGTCAGAACTGTCTCTACAGCACTTAACAACAACAACATTTCTGAAACATGATGGCAAGTATAAGACTTGTAACTGTCTCTATACCTATAATAAAGGAGTCCTGGTGTGGTGCTGTGGGCTAATACACCAGACTGCAAAGCCGTTTGAACTGCAAGGTCGGCAGTTCAAGCTCACCAGCTGCTCCTCGGAAACCCTATACAGGGTCGCTATGGGTCGGAATCAACTAAACAGCACTTAACAACAACAACCTACAATATAAACTTAAAAATGAAGTTAGTGCTTTAAAATAACTCAGAGGACAAACTTTATTCAAGTTTAAGAAAAATGAGGGAATTTAACTTGGATGACCAACTATCTCAGTTTGTTCGATGGTACTCTCCTATTTGAGCAAAGCAAGTAACACATTCAGGGAAACCCCTAAGTTCAAGGCAAACCAAGATGATTGGCGATCCTATATTTGTTGCTGTAGAGTGTCATGGAGTTGGTTCTGACTCATAGTGACCCTGTGTAGGGTTTCCCAGGACCAGGTTTCCCAGGTTTGAACCACCAACCTTGTGGTTAGCAGTCAAGTGCTTATCCTACAGCACCATACCAGGGCTCTATCCTGTAGATTTATTTACTGAGTCAATAAATGGCAGCCTGTGGGGTATATGTGTTGATTTTATTTTATTCAAGCCACACAAAAGAATTAATTATATTCTACTCAATGCTCAGAAAAACTAAAAGAGACAAATATGTATTTCTATATTTTAAGTGCCGTTGAATCAGTTACGATTCACAGCGACCCTATATAAGGTTTCCAAGAAGCAGCTGGTGAGCTTGAACCACCGACTTTGCAGTTCAAATAGCTTTGCAGTCTGGCACATTAACCCACAGCTCCATATACAACAAGTGTTAATGTGTATTCTTCAAGAAAGACACAGAGAAAGGAAGGGAAGGGGAAGGTCAGGAAGGCAAAGAGAAAGGAAAGGACAAACTCTGAGCTTACTGACTGTCAATACGAAAAACACTAGGCTCAAATCCTAGAACCTAGTAACACACAATAAATATTTGTTAAGTGAATTGGCCACCCCAACAACCAGACCAAAACCAATTCCTTTGCTGAGCAAGAAGATAAAACAATAAGCAAAGATTTCGATACTCCCTGGAAGAACCTACCTGAGCATACATCTTTAGAAGGTGACTATGCATCTGATGCTCCTCTGGTACCTCCACAGACTTGGCACCAATAAACCGCAGGAGATCTATAGGCATACCTGTGCTCCAGGTAGTAATGCAAGCTTCTGGCTGGACCAGGCCCTGCCAGTGGGCCTGCAGATTATTGGCAGGGGGGCTATAGTGGGCCATGTTAGTTAAACGGTCATTTAACTTTGCATAGTAGGAGGCTTTTATTTCAGACACCTCCTCCTGGGTCATGAGGCCAGTGCCAATCAGATGTTCTGCATATGTGTCTGGAATGCTATTTCGGGCTCTGTCCAAGAGAGAGGAAAAGAAATCAATCTGATTTGTAAAAACCTAAGAGAGGAAGATACAGTCATTGCTAAAGGTATTACAGGTCATCATTACTGCAAAAAGGTACTTACCAAGGTGAGAAACAACTTCTGAAAGGCTAGCAACAGAAAAAGCAAATGTATCATTATAAGATTTCATGCACATCCAGGTAGAAATGATTGTTGTTGTTGTTAAGTGCGATTGAGTTGGTTCCAACTCATAGTGACCCTGAATATGGTTTCCAAGGAGCAGTTAGTGAGTTTAAACTGCTGATCTTGTGGTTCAAACCAACTTTGTGGTCTAGTGCTTATTCTACAGTGTTAAGAGTTTTTCTATGGATTGGAAAAATTATTTATAAGACTGATCAATATTGTCTACCTACTCAAAAACTCAAGAGCAAACTCACTGTCATAGACTGGCTTCCAACTCAAACCAGCATTATTTAAGATTTCCAAGACTAAATCTTTAAAGAAGAAGAAGACAGCCTCATTTTTCTTTCTCAGAGTGGCTGGTAGGTTTGAACTGCTGACCTTGCAGTTAGCAGCCCAATGTCTAACCCACAGAGCCAC